ACAAACATTTTTGCTTTGTTTGGATAAAAGAAATAAAATCAATTAAAATCAATATAAATATATTGTTAACTGTTTCTTATCAACTTCTATATCTTTAGAATTTCTTCACTATTTATTACTATTTTCTTCTATATTAGTCTTTTTGTATTGTTTGTTTTCATTCACTCCTTTAATCTCTTGCTCTAGTTTTTTTTTCTTTTTTCCTCAAAATGCATTGGCAATGTGAATATTGTAAATGAGAATTTTCAAAACCATATGCACTAATACAACATATTTTGCAAAGACATCCTTACCTCCAAATAACTCCTGCAAGTCAAACAGTATTTATTGAACAACTAAATGATGATATTTGAAAACTTCCTGAATATAGCTCTAGTTATAAATTTTTTACAGAATATGGAGTAAATTAGTTTATTAATAATTATTTATTATCATTTTAAAATGATTAAATTTTATTTAAAGTGAAAACACGTTAAATATCACCTTGTTCTAAATTAAGTCCGAATGAGAATTATTTTATAGAAACAGAATCTCTTTTAGGTAATAAAGAACTTTTTTGATAGAAGATGAAATATCTCAAAATATGTCTAATGAAAGTAATCTTGAAGACTATAGAGATGTTTCGTTTGATTATGCTTTTTATGAATTGCAACATTCAAATATTGAGTTTGATAAAAATGATTTTGAAAACTTTGAAAGAGCTTCACTTGATATAGTGTTGGGCTCTGGACCAAAAGTTTACTCTACTGAACTTATAAACTGGACTACTGAACTTATAAACTGGACCACTAGACCTATAAGTCCAGTTCTAGTTCAATTTTACTGAACTTATAAGTGAGCCCAACACTGACTTGATACTTTTCATGATTTGTATAATCTACAAATTATCAAGTAGCTTAACAATGCCTATTGTGAATTTATGGAGATAGTTAATAAATATCAACTATCAAATTTGGCTAGTGATTCTATAATAAAGTTCTTTAATAAGTTTTCTAATTTGGATATTTTGCTATTACCATCATCAACAAAGAATGGAAAGAAATTTCTTGACGATTATACAATCTTTTGTATAATATTTAAAAAAATTTCTATTACAACATTTCAAAATATTAAATATACATTTTACTATTGTTTAATAATTAAAGCAAT